GAATGCGAAAAGTAAGGGCAACTCAAATATAAAATAAAATACAGGGTGATTCATTAAAAATAACATAAGTTGGTTCCAGAGGGAAGTTATTAAAAAATAATTTTAAAATATGTAGTTTAACGCTGAAAATGTTGATATTGGACTTTTTCACACTAATGGATCACCCTGTATGTTGTTGGTAAAAACTAAACTGTTTACTATCAATCATCTCTGTCTCTATTATATATTATTTATTTTAGAATTGTTTTCCAATATTTTTTTCGTGTATGTATAGCAAAATTTACGATTCAAACTCCAGCAATTCTCAAAGTCGAACAATCTCATTAATACAAGAAGTAAGTAAGTTAGAAGTGTTGTTGATAGTTTTAAGTACATACGAGTCCGTGTCGGTGTGCGGATCCGGACAAGAAGCATTCTGGGATCCGGTTCTCCTCAACCGCCAGATGGCGTGGCGAGCCGCCACGAGGCGGACCGCGAGATTGTAACGCGCCACTGTGGATCGAGGCCGTTTTGGACGCGACGTGTGCACGCGACGCACTGACTGTCTAAGTCGTCGCCGTTGCCGTCCCGATGCCAAACTGAGTTATTGGAAACGGAAGCGGCCGGCGAGAGAGCGCCGCCGCTACCTGCCGTTGCTCAACGAAGGAGCCGCCACCGATCACGGATGGAATTGAGGATGGTTAGTGCACGTCGGCGAAGGTTCAGGGAGTCGAACGCATTTTTCGCAAATACAGGGCGGCTCAATAAGCCAACTTACACACAACCGGTCACAAGAAACTTCATACAAATCAGAGACAGTTAAGGCCGCCATTTCAGTGTATTTTACGTGGTCAAAACAGAGGTTTACGATTTTTTACAGAACTTATTTTTCACTGGATGGATTTTAGTGAAACTTTGGCAGCTTATAGTAAAATGTTTACTGATTGCAATGAGATATTTTCATTTGTCCTGCTAATTATTAAATACTATTAAAAAATATAAAAAATGATAGTCACAGATGCAGTTCAAAAAACTTTAAAGCATTCTACATATTTTTTTGAATATTCTTTCCAAATTTTAATAATTTATGTTGTGTACTTTTTAAACTCTGCACAAAATACGATTTCATATAAAATTGTAAATTTCGCTGCGCCCATATTGTATTTTAGTTCAGGTCCTAAGTTATAGGTGTCTGATGGAGCAAAAGCGAAAGTTTCGACGCCGTTTTGCCATATCTTAAAATTATCTTGAATTTAGAGAAATATATATTATCATGCATATTTACAATTTATAGAAATATAAATTATATATACAGGGAGACTCATTTTTTACCGTTTTCCTTATAAAATGAATTTTTAATAATGTTTGGTGCTTTGTCTAAAATCAAATACTAGATTAAATAGAATTTAAAATAAATGCCTTTATACGAGGGAAATCAAAAATGCACTCAAGAGTAAAGTGCCCTTATTTACACTTTGCTAGTTAAATACTGAAAAAATTGGTTAAGGATGTAATTTTTTATTGTATGCTGAGTTTTTTCTGTAAATAAAGTGTGAATTCGACAAAATGGGTTAGTTATGCATTCAATATGTCATCAGCAAACACAAACAAATAACATATATTCTTTTTAAGATTATGCATATACCTACTGAAAATATACTTTATTTGCATTTAGTACATTCTTAGAATATACTAAGAATATGTTACGGGACGTCATTTATACGTGCTGTGCAGATACTGAGAATGTACTTCAAGTATCTGTACAGTATGCAATAAGTATCTACTTTCATTTGATAGTACGTTCTAAGTATATGCTAAGTATTTAAATTTAGCATATACTAGGCATAACGCTGTTCCAGTTCAAAAGTGTAACATCTCCAAATCAGCAATTTTGAGATAAATTACTTTAAATATTTTTCTCTACTAATTTGTAATTTATTATTAAATTAAATAGAAAAATAAATATTTTGAGAATTTATAGTGTTGAATTATTGTAATAGACCTTGCCCTTCTTGCTAAGAATACATTGGACATCACTTAATATTTTATACCACAAGAACATCATACATAATAAAGTCGTTTTATATATTTTAAAAATAATTCCAGGTATAATTTCACACAAGGCATTGTAACTGCATCAGCTCGGCTAAACCACTTGGTGTCTCATAAACGTTGTAATGTTATTAATTCAAACTATAGTTTAAATAAACTTGTTTAAATTTCAGGACAATCACAAGAAAATCCCAAGAAAATCCCAAGAAAATCCCAAGAAAATCCCAAGAAAATCCCAAGAAAATCCCAAGAAAATCCTAAGAAAATCACAAGATTAGCACAAGAATAGAACAAAAAAATCACAAGAAAATTACAAGAAAATTACAAGAAAATTACAAGAAAATTACAAGAAAATTACAAGAAAATCACGAGTAAAATCACAAGGTAGTCACACGAAATTCACAAGAACATCACGTTTACCAGAAAATCACAAGAAAAACTAGAAAAACACAAGAAAATCACTAGAAACTCACTAGAAAATGACTAGAAAATCACTATAAACAATTAAAAAAAATCACTAGAAAATCGCTAATAAAAAACACTAGAAAATCACTAGAAAATCACTAGAAAATCACTAGAAAATCACTAGAAAATCACTAGAAACTCACTAGAAAATCACTAGAAAATCACTAGAAAATCACTAGAAAATCACTAGAAAATTACTAGAAAATCACTAGAAATTTACTAGAAAATCATAGGATCATCACAAGAAACTCAAAAATAAAATGACAAAAAAATCACAAAAACAAGGGAATCACAAGAAAATAGCAGAAAAACCACAAGAAAGTTACAAGAAAATAATCACAAGAAAATTATAATAAAATTATCACAAGAAAATCACAAAAAACCCAAAAAAAAATACAAGCAAATCTAAATATTTTTTAATACAATGCGGCTATTACTGTCAGCCGCCTCAATAATGACAGTCACTACACAATAGCATATGCAGATGGCCTGGTCATTCTGTCAGAATTATTTAAGTCCAAAAGGAAGCCGATTATCGTCTTGGTATTACAACTTTCTCTTCGAAAGAAGACAGTTTCTCCCAGGAATGTACTTTAAAAAAATATTTAGGTATTTACACTGACAGATGGGCATCAAAGCCCCTTTCAATTTAATCCAACTTTGTAGTGTTTTCATTAATCCTCTTTTCATTCGGACCTTCTCGCTGTCTTTCAAAATTGAACTGTATCCCTTTTAAGATCCAAATGGAATTTATCCGTTCTTTGTTTTTTTTTTTCGGTTATTTCTTTTAAGATTAATTATACATTAAGTTCGGCTCAGCATGAAACATATTGTGATGGTGATTTATTTACGAATTTTAATTTATTTTTCATTTGTCGGACAAAGGGAAATTTGCCAGGATCAGGATGGATTATTTTAAAAGAATGAATAATTATTATAAAATTTTCATCTCTGATTAATAAAATTAATGTTGGAACAAAAGTAAAGACGCATTTTAATGTTTTTATTTAATAAAGTGCTATTACCATGTTAAGTAAATTTAATTCTTGACTTTACATAATAAACTTTTGTATAATCAAAATCAAACTACTTAGGGTCAGTTTTTTCACCTCTAAGTAAAGTGGAAAATAACTACTTTCTGATTATACTAAAGGGCTATTGTTTGTTAATCTGTCAAGTAAACCTACATGTAACGTTATTCAGAGGTGAAAAAATCGGCTCTTAGTATTTTGTTTATCATTTTTTATTTAAATATTTTTACGTAATGTTTACCTATTCCATAAAATAAAATGAAAATAAGAACCATCTCGAAAATCTTAATATACAAAATGAAATGTTTGACTTCCCCAGTAAAAATTTAAATTAATCAGAAATATTCGACCCTCATCCTGCCTAGAAGTAACCCCAGGCAAAAAAAATTAACCACGGAATTGAAATAAAAATCTCAGTAACGTCTGCATCAACAACATCTACATAAACAGTTCCGTATTTCATTTAGAATTCTGAAAATATTTTAAATTGTTGGACAAAACTTAAGATATTTGAATTTCAAATTTTTATTTGATTTCGTTACATTTTAGATATCTAAAACAATTTTAATTAGAAATGAACGAAAAAGATCTTTAAAATGCTCTGATATTACACATCCTAAAACAATAATATTTATGCAGTGCCGCAAGGAGCGAAGTTCAGCCCATTACTATATTTGTTATTTATAAATTATTTATGTAAAATAATAAATTTAAAAACTGTAAGTAAGACTACTGCAAAATCTCTCATTAAAATTTACTAGTCTCAAGGCCGTAGCCAGGGGGATCAAAGGGGTTTGATCACCCCCCCCCCCCCCCCCGAAAAAAAAAAGATATTTATTTTAGACTTTTAGTAAGTATTAACGAGACTGCAGTTATTTATGTACAGTGCGCCTATCTCACTTTGTTGTTATGCACAACATAATAGTTAATCACTACAAAAAAAATTCTCTACCTACTGTTATTTTTATTATGTATGACTTTAGACTTTAGGCTCGCTTGGTGTTCGCACGGCGATACTTAAATAGCGGCGCAGCGACATGTGTTAGGGGGAGCGGCGAAACTACGTGCTACGCCAACTACACAAGCAACGCAACTTCAATATTATTCAAATATTCAATAAGTATAGAATGAGACGAGTTATTCTCGATGTTTCGTTGCGGAATATATAAGCGAGTCGTCGAGCACGGAGAGGCAGTTCTGTCTTGAAAAGTGATGCAATGTGATGCGACTAAGGCGATATAAGCGAAGTAATAGTGCAGTGTGTGAAATAATAGTGCTGTGAATTAGTATTGTAGTAAGTGGTGTTTTAAATTTTGTAATTTAAATTAAAATTAAAAGGATTTGATGCCTAAGAGTAGACTACCTACTCGTATTCATTTTCTTTTAAATCTTTATCGAAGTAAATATTTGTGTACAAATGGAATTATTATTTGACTGTTTTTTTAATTGTTACAGGTCGGTTCAACATTTGAAATGGCAAAAAGGATGCAAGAAAATACATTATTCAAATATTTATTTAAAAAATCTAAACCTAATACTGGTATTGAAGTTTCTACTGAAAATCAGTGTTCAAGTGTTTTCGAGAGTGATACTGCTACAAGTAGTTCTGGTAGTTCTGCTGCCGTTCCTGGGACTGTGGATGATGTTTCTCAGCATGTTTTAGATGTGGGTTATTATACGGGATCAAACACCAAAATGGATGATGATTTAAAGTTCAGATTGTTGAAATCTCCTTGGATGCCAGAAAAGACATTCAAGTTTCCAGTAAGTGACGGTAAAAGAAAGCTAAAACTTCAAATGCAATGGTTTGAACGGTTCTCATGATTGGTTTACATGAGTACAGGACAACAAGGTGCTTTATGCAAATATTGTGCATTATTTGCCAGAGATTGCGCAGGTAAAGGCTCTCATCAGCAGTTGAAATCCTTAGTTACTCAACCGCTTCCTAAATGGAAAGATGCTGTACATGATTTCAAACATCACAGTGAAAGCCAGTACCACAAATCTTCTGTATTATTGGCACCAAGTTTCATCCATGCGAAAATGATTTTTTTCATATTTTTTTTACTAGAATTGCAACCCTCCCGCAACCCCCTGTCGTACAACTGGAATGGAAGACGATAATTTTACTGTTAGATGCTATTTAAATAACTCATTTAAAAAATAAAGCTTGCGAAAATGGTTTATTGAAATCTGTCATTACCTCCCGGACCATTAGGACTCTTCAGCAAGAAATAGATGGTTTTCAATTCCAGTCTCTAATGCCATTTAACAAAGGCAACACATTCACTAGTATAATAATGTTGATTACGAAACGAATAAGTATTCAAGTAGTGAAAATGTTTTAGTTTCCTAATACAACTACTAACACTATGCACGCTACGTACTACTTATGTTTTAAACAAGTACTTATGTTAATGTTAACGTTATTATTCTGTCAAGTAAATAAATTAGTAAACTTCACTACTCGTTTTCTTTATAAGGAGTATTTACACTGACAAATCTACAGGATTTCCAATAGAAAATGGGGTCACCATTTGTTCCTAATAAACAAAATCCAAGGTCGCTTTTGGTACCCAATTATGAAACTATGTGAAACAAGTTATATTATTATTGTTTACTGGTGAATGTATTGCCTTTTTTTAATTCCATTAGAGATTGGAAGTGAGAACCATCTTTCTTACCGAAGAGTCCTAATAAGGACGAAACTTGTCCAAGAATGACGTTCTCCTTGTGAGCAAAATCAAAGTAGAGTGTTGAAATCTAATTTCTATATCGGCTGTCTTTCCTTTGGATATAATTCAATACCTGTTGAAGTATTAGCCAAAGGAGTAGTTGTTTTTCGAAAGGAAACGGTCGCTCCTATTTTGTGACATATGGTTTTGAGTTTTATTTATTTTATTTGAACTTGTTTTTTTTTTCGGTCAGGAATATGATAAGTTTATTTATTTATTAATGTAAAGTTTTATGTAAATTTGTTGTTAAGTTTCAAATAACTTTTTTTAATTTAAGTTAGCAGTAGTCTGACGGCACCTTTATAAGAACTGTGTTAAATGATGCACACTGCCGTCTTGTCCGTATGTTCGTTTATTTTAAATTTAATTTATATTTTCGTTATTTCCTTCCCGTAATACCAGACTTATAATATTGAAAATATTGATTTTATAAGAATATCATGAATGAATTAGACACATTTACTATTTATACATTAGATCGATTTTTTTTCTAATTTAGTTGGTTTAAATTTTTAACCTTGCATTATTGGCAATTTAAAGGTTTAATAAAAGAAAGTTTAGTATTGACGATCTATAGTTTGTTTAATAATTCATGAAATAAATTATTAATTCTAGAAATACCAGTAAATGGTAGAAAATATAAGTATACCGAGTGACATTGATACTAAAGCCACGTTAAAATCACTTTTACTTATCAAGCGATTTGGATCAAATTTGGAACAAACATACTAAAAACCCAAGTAGCACCATAAAAACACTTTGGGTTTATTTAAGTTTTAAAATGGTTTTTCCTGTGGCAAATAAGAAGATACTGGTTTTAAAGTTACCTTGTAGATATACTACGGGCACTTAAAAGATGTTTAGCATTTAATACTGTTTTTAAAGTATCTAATAAGATTTGCTAATAAGGGTAATTAATTTTAAAAGTTTGTTTGTCTTGTTGTAGTTTTAAAATGATTTAGTTCCAATTAACTTTAAAACTACTTAGTTTTATGAAGGACTTGCAGGTTGTTTGGTTTTATTATGTTCTAGATTGTGACATTATAGTTTTTAAGTAGTTTTAAAGAGATTTTTAATTTAACTTATAAAACCTAAGTATTATTAAATCTGCTTGGTCTTAGGACAATTTGGTCAGTAAATATAGCGTTTTAAAACTCTCATTACATTTCCTTTCTTAAATGCAATTAGAAAGCTATATTAAAACGGAATGCTCTTAATTAAATCAATTTGGTTATCGCAAAATAATACAACTAAACGCTTCCCCTCTTCTTACGTGACCCAAATAAACCCCGCATTTTGTATCATGTCAAACAGTGGTGTACCTACAATAATTAGAAAAACTGAAAACAATATATTATTACTTCTTTATAAATACATAAAACACAAAGGACTGATACGACACGGAGATTCTAAGTTTAGGTTTATATTAAAACCGAGCGGCATTTATCACAGCCGTATTAAAACTAAACCGTTTAAATCACAAGCGAACTTTGCTTTTGTCTAGGGTATGTGCTCTTGGAACAGTATAAAACTCGATTAAATAACTTATTTGTTTGAGAAAATGGTTGATGAGCAAACATGAGCGAACAAAGTATTAATATTGTATGAAATTAAATTCTCAAAATGTTTAATTTTGTCTAGAAGTTGGCCCACGAACATTCTTTTCGATATATTTTGAGATCAGAGGGTGGCCAAAAAAGTTATTTTATGTGAAATAATGGGCAATTGACATCTCTCAGCTGTAGCTGCAGAAATTGCTATAGTTAACAGAATATGTAACGCAATAGTAAGATTTAAGGTTCTTTTATTAGTTGTTTACATAAATTAAATTGGTCTTACCCACAATACAATTAAAATTCACCAATAGCTCAAATTTTTAATTTACAGATAAAATAGTGATACAATAAACAATTGACCTTAAATTTTAATTCCTGCTTTTCTACTGGCTGTTACTCACTTTCGTAGGAAATTGTTTTTATTTTACGGCGCCTTAAGTTTTTTGATTTCATACTGTTTTCGTTTTCTTTCCAATTAAAATTCTTTTTATTTTTTAAGTATTTTAAACACTTATCTTATATATTACAACATTTAATCTTTTTTGAGGTCGATGATTACCTAAAAATGGTTGAAACCAGTCGCAAAAGTATATTTTGAGTTTTTATTCTGCTTGTTGGATTTCTTCCAATGGTATTCTACATTTTTAACAGCAAATAATTTTGTTGTTCTTTAAAACCCTGTAACAAACAGTATTTTTTTATTTTCTGCATTCTAATAGGTGAGACATTAATAAGGCAAAATACGAGGACACCTGCTGTAGGTACATTTTAATAAAAAATTTTAAAGTAATCTTCATTAAAAAAATTATTGTTTAAAAAAAATTGCTGGAATCCCTACATTAGCACCTTCAGGTTTTTATTAATTCATGTTTTTACTCGAAAAGTTTAGCTAGAGGGGTTTTTTTTTCCTGGGCTCGTCTGACTATGTGTCTCCGAATAACACTGAAACCTATTGGCTTATTGTGTTTTACCCCATGTTAGTTCATAGCACCCACTCTATCACCTTTGTACCTTGTACAAGAGATAGGGGGGTTATTATTTTACGCTTTGATCATGAGCCAAATTACGCAGAAACTCATTATAAGTACAATTCATTTGAAAAGCCATTATATTTTAATAGCAAAGAAAAGCATCTCCTTTATTTTCGACGACATTTTAAACAAACAGAATTCTACAAAAAAATGTTTACCTACACTTAAATCGATTTTGATGAGTAATATAGTAGATGGGGTGATTAAATATTATTGCACGAATATTTAAATTTAGATTCCTTAGTTCAAAATATGATCCAAGCTATAAAAATTTGTCCAAAAACGATTCGGGTGTAATATTATTAGAAATTCCGCCGTAGTAACTATTCACAGGTAGCACACCTTGGAGAGAAAATAATCTGGGGCTGTTAAATCCGGCAAGCGAGACGGCCAAATAAATGCTGATAGACGTAATGAAAAATGCTCTTAAAAGAGCAAAACTTTAAAGAGGAAAATGGTGGCTATTTACGATGCATAAATTTAAAAAACTCCATGGACTGACCTTTATCACTGTAGTAAGAAAATTAATAAAATGTATATAACACAACAGTTATGATTATTTAAAACCCCGCAGCGACTTTTGCATCACCCTATATAATAAGCGTTATTTTATACGCAATTTTAGAATCATAATTTAGGTTTTTAGTGGTTTCCCTTAATCATATTTCCAATTTTATCTTGGACTTTCTCTAAAATGAAGTGCATGAGAAATAGCAAAATTGGCGATTCTTAATTGGGAACTCGACCTGCCACACAGATCTCACATGCCAAAAACTCTAGTTTATTGTAATTAGGACACACTTATCTGAAAAGCAGGATAATTAATGTAACAGGGTATCAAGAAATGTAAAACAACACCTTAATAAGAAAATAGAAGGGCAATTCTGGTTTAAATTTGGTTTTGGTTGATACAGTCCACGATTATTACAATTAAATAAATATGTATATTTATATTAAAATGACATAATATTAAGTCTGATATCTGAAGTTTCCTTTTCACAGCAAGTTCTGGGACACTCTGTAAAATTTATATTTAAATAAAATAATTAATTAAACTATTAATCATATTAAAAAAAACAAAATTTAAAAGTTATCCAGGTTTTTAATAAATTAGTAATTTTGTAGCAATATTAATTACCAATAATGTGCTAAAACTGTCATCTATTTTATCTTTTACACAATCTGCTTCTTATTACTGCTGGGCTTCGAATCCCAGACCAGACCATGTGGATTTTTAATTAAATTGCATGGTTCGGTTTAGGATTTGATGTGTGCCGTATTAATAGAAATTCAATTTCTGTTGATATGACATGCAGATTAAAAAATCGCCATGCATTACCGTCTCGATGATGGTGGGTGAGGTTTTCCGGGTTTTCCTCACCTGTAAGTCAAATGGCACCATCAATCATCTTTAAGTCGCCCCGGAGCGCCACGGCAAATAATAATATCCGTCCCTTCCTCTACACAAGTTGTTCAGTCGACTTCAGGGGTTGAAATTCACT